GTCCGCCCTCTGGCACCAAAACACCCCAAAAATAAAAATCAGAAAAGAAAACCAAGTCAGGCGCCAGGTCATTAAAAACGGAATGACCGCCGTATCAAAACTCCTTCTCCACTCTCAGCTTCAATATTCCCTGCAGCTCGTTTCGAAGAGATTTAATTAGTCGGAAGCTGAAAGGGGATGCAACTGGGATCTTCAGCAAAAATAAATAAAATCAGAATTGTCGGGGAGAACAACATTTAATCTTAAAAATCAGTCTCGATACAAAAAAAACTAAAATAAAATCCCCTTAAATTAATTACTCGTTACTGTGCACTCTATATAATTTTAAATTAGTCACTGTCGTCAAATTATTATTAAATGAAAAGTTTCTGAAGTCGAATAAAATAATAAAAAAAATAAATAATGAAATAGTCACAAAAATCAAAATAAATAAAAAAAATCATTGAAAAGAACAACTGAGTCACGAAACTCAATTGTCACTAGTCGGAAAAGTCAATAAGTTTTATCAGAAATATTTTACAAAAAAAAAGAAAGTCAAGACAATTCAATGACCCAAAACAGTAACGTGAAAATCGATCGGTCTACGTGACCTCGGACAATCAAAACTACATAAAATAAATACAATACTAACGGCGAATATTCGAGAAGTCACGAGACCTTGAAATTGACTGAAATAAAAATAAAATTCAACGGCGAGAATCACTGAATTTCGCGACACAACTCTAACAAACAAAGTCGCGAAACTCGTAAAAGAAAATAATAATTACTCAAAATTAACAAAATGAAATCTACTAATAAATATGATTGAGAGAGAGAGTAAAATAATCACTGAAGAAAGTGGTCAGAGATTCGCTAATAGAACCAACCACTAATAGTCCTATAGGACTCGGGTGTACGTAACACCAAAAAAAATTAACTAAATCTCTGCCCACTAACAAAACAATTAAAAAAGTATCGGCCACCACGCTCACCCGAATATTCTGGAATCCTCCTCGAAATCTCATAAACTCCGTAAATCCCAATATTCGTCCAAATTGTCTGGTGGCGTCCGTGACAACCAAAAATAAGCGTCCTTTTAACCGAAATTTATCAGTAGATCCGCTCCAAAAATCCACCACACGGGAAGTGATTAACAAAACGCACGTGAATTGGCAACAGGTAGGTAACGCGATTAATTCGGATGATTGGGGGGGATGACAACGTCATCATCCACCAATCCCAATCAAATGGCCATGCGCGATACAGATAATCATTTTGCACGCATGCGTTACAAATTTTTCGATGATTAATATCAGTTTTCTTAATTTTCATAACTGATAACAGATCCTCAGCGCTGCCTAATAGAATATCAAATGATTTTTCGCGTTACAAACTACCTCGAGAGAATAGTAACTCTCCTGTAATAATTCTTATCCTATTTTTCATTAATTGCCAATCCGCCTCGTGGTCAGCAAACTGCGTCACTTCCGTCATGATTGTTAGCTGGATCGTGGCTCCATTATCGGCCACATCGAAAATTCGGTTATCGATCGAAATGCGGAGTCCGATGACATCTCTCGGTGTCCCAGTGATCCTTAGCGATGTCCTCGGATTGGAACATGGTGGCGCGTGATTCAATTCAAAATAAAACAAATAAAATAAATCAAACATATCCTTTCTCTCTGCTCAAAAACTCTCGCCATTGAAAGTGACTTCCCGTCTGGTGGAAGTCTCTAAAATCGCGAAACGGACGAGAAAATAGTAACGGGTAAAATACCACGTTACACATTATAACCCCAATGTTAATCTCAATCGCAATAGAATCCAATATTTGAGGAATATAATTTGTTCAATCACTAATTTTGCCTTGATGAGATCATT